CGGGGTTAGCTGCACCGAACTCGAGAGCGCAGCATTTGTCAAGCGTGAGCCCTCGTTAGAGATAAGAGGTTACAACAAAGCTAAAAGCATAGCAAGGCTAGAAACATGACGGAACTGAAGATACGTGTACGTATCGGCGCTCTACAGTTCGGTCACGGGTGCCCGGTACAGCGACCGCTCTCGCCCCTTACGGGCCGCCCCTCCGGTCTAGTTTCCCCGGCTTGGCCTCACCACGCCGTTGGCACCAGGGGCGTCCCCGCCGACGGGTGGGTGCTCGGGTGCGCAGGCCAGCTGACGGTGGGGCCGAGTGCACGCAAGCGTACGCGGCTTACTCCCTTTTATAGCCAGTCAGCACCATGCCAGCCCCCAGCTATACCGAAGCCGTGCGGCTCTAGGCAACAGCAGCGCGCGCGTCAACAGACGACCCAGTGCTCAGCCGCAGCGCTGCTCCGCTGGCAACAATGCGCCCGTTAACGGGTCGTTCTGCGGGGAATGGCTCCGCGGCGCCGAGATGTTTGTGGTGTGGGTCTGCGGTGCCTTCGTCTGGACTTGTCAAGCACGGGGTCGTTGGAGGGTGCGCCCCCAGGCTGCAGCGACCCCGCAGCGTGGTGGCGCCGGCCGTGGTGCACCCGGCGTCCGTTAACTCCTGGGGAGCCCCCCAGAGCGAGCCCCTCTGCGATGGGCTGCGCCATCCGGAGCCCCGCCCTTGCCTGTCAGCATCATCAAAGCAATTTTGGCAAATAATACATAGTGTATTGTTTTGTATTGTATGGTAGTATACATTTTGGAAAAGATTTATTTGAAACTTGGCACTGCAATTTCTTTTTTAATGGTGCAGTAACTCATCATGTTAGCAGCCTTGATTAATATGTTTTTAGTGTATGATCGTTTTGTGCCACTTCTTCTAAACTTTAAAAACACATGCCTAACTTCTTCCTGCACCCAGAACTAGCTTCTCAGCAGAGCTGAGCCTTTGGTGCCTGCCTCACATTTTGATCCATAAATTAGTTGCTCACCTGCTTTGCCTTGCCTGCAGGACATGAAAGGTAGACTTTCCTGGAGTCGAATCTATATCACCACTGGCTGAGAATGGAGTGGGAAACTCTAATATGTTCAGGCTGCTTGAAAAGGTTGGAAAGCTACGCCTCTAACCTTCCATGTGAATGCCCTAACCAATACACCATGGGACTGCGCAGCTGAGTGAGGAGTCACAGAGAAGGGGGCTGTGAGTCTGTCTTGTTGAAGCTGTTCCTGCAATATTTAAGCATTTGGAAGAGAAGAAATTATGGCTTTAGAGACAGCAGTTTAGCACACCCCTCTCTGAGGGGGGAGGCTCGGGGCTCAGCTTTGTGCTCCAGCACTTGTTTGACTTGAAATATTCCAACATGCCACTAAAACCTCTTGTGTATGTGGCTGTAAGTATATTAGGATCTGCACTTGACTTTTTTTCCCTTTTACTATGGGATTTGTGAGCCTAAAACACTCACTTTTTTGCAGTTCCACCCTAGATCATTATCTTGGACTGCAATGCATTATTTAGTTATCTAAACTAGACCTGTATGTTACAGCCTATGTATCGAC